AATGCATTCTAATATTACTTCTGAGGCAGCACGAGATCAAATGCCAAAAAAGATTAAAGAATAAACTGGAGTACATCTATAGGATTCATTGCTGTTTGTGATTTTGTCAGATGGGGAAACTATTTGATGGTAGATCAAAGCAATGGTGTATTTTTATATTCCTCTAGCCTTAAGGCTGAAACACCTTCTTTTTGTGGGGGAATAGCCTTAAATGTTGTCTGACACTGACAATTATTCTTGAAATTATTTCATTAAGTATCCTGTGTCAGTAAAAATAAGGACTCTTAATTTGCAGCCATTACTATACTGATATAGACATCTCATTTCAACTTGGATTTGCAATTTAATAAGAAAGCTTTTTTATTAAACTATTTTAATTTTACTTTCAGTAATTTACTTATTTTTTAAGGCTTTAGGTTGATGGATTGACAATTTATGGTTGTTTGCAAAAAGATTGACTTATGAAAATGCCTGTAGTCCTAAGTGTGGCATAGTGAAACATTTGTGACTTTATCTGTACATTTTATTTGCTGTTCATGTTTTGTTAGAATTAGTGATTGTTGTAATGTCTTTAACTGTTTAGCAGAAATTAGTTTGAACACTTAGTGAGTGTGATTTGAGTTTTTGGTATTACTGCCAATCCCCAAGGGAACTTCAGGATACAGCTTGACAGAAGCAGGCTGTTCCTGCTTGTAGTGTGCTGTACATATTCCTTGCTTCTTTGTGTGGTTTCCTGTTTTTAAACATTGTGCTTTACTATTTCTTGCACTTGTCTTATATTCAACGAAAAGGTAATTTTGTTTTCTTGTTGCATTGTTTCACATCTCACAGTGTTAGCTTAATTTTTTTAAATGTCTTGTTCTTTTGCTCAAACCGTAAAATAAACCAGATAATTTGCTTCCATTGCTAAACAATAATGAGCTGTTGAAGTAGTGGTTCTAGTGTTGCAGAAATGGTATATCAACTGTCTAATTGTAATCTCAGTCCCTTTTTCAGCTGCACAGCATAATTATGCGATAACATACTGAGCATGATTATAGGTTCAGCTTCAGATTAGACAGTTTGTACAGTTGTTACATCTCCCTTTGTGCTCTTTCAATAGCTTTCTTCTAACTGACTTAGGGAGAAGTTTTTTTTTTTGCTTTTTCAAGTGACAAGGATGAAATAGTCTCCATCTTTTGATTTGTTAAAATTGTGAATATACTGAAATATAGGTATGTTTATACAAAGAGAATTTAAGATTTTAAAAATACATATGATTATTTTTTGCTGAATATAAGAATGCTGTATAAGGACATATGTAAATTTCTAAATTACAGAATCATTTGTGCACTTGATTAACTTCAGCTGCTGCCTGTTTTAAACAGCTATTGTGTTCACAGGTTTCAAGATCTATTAAGAACAACAGTATTTGAACAACTGGTAGATGCTGTTAAATTGATGGTTATGTGGTTCCCAGATGGTTTCGTTTGCTGCAAGTTAAATTAGAACAACAATTCATACACAGAACCAGGACTGTACACACCTGGTCTAAATTCTGTCAGTACTGCATAGGGTGTTTCAATATTACTACATATTTCAGTAAATTAAAAAAGTAATTATCTCACATTTGCAAGGTATTATCTTACATTAGTTTTACCGCCTTACAGCCTGATTTCAGAAGGTTAGCAAGGCTAGGCCAGAATTTATATATCTTTACCCCAGTATGGTCACCACCTATACTATGCTGTAGGTGGCACAAACTTTTGGATTAAACATTATATCAGGGGACTATTACTGCCATGGTACTGCTAGTAATAGTAGTCATTTATTGTAGGATTACTGACCCTCATTTTCTAGCCAAATTCCCCCTGGTCTTATACAATTCGACCTATCTGAGGTTAGTTAAGACATCAGAGTTTAGAACAATAAGATGTAGTGCACAAGAGAAAACAGTCGTAAGAAAGTTTGGTAAACTGGCATTCTTACAGAACTGGGGGATTACATGCTGCCAACTCTTATTTTGAGGCATCTGGAGCAATAGTTGTATCCCAGAACTCTGCTTCTAAGTCTATCTCAGCGCAGCTGAGAGTGTAGGCCTGGTGAGAAACACACCCTGAGTTTTGTAACCACTGTGTAGAGGTACCCAACTGTGGCAGACCTTCAGAACAAAAGCATTTAGTTTGCTACTTGCATTCTTTAAAATGCTTTGAGGCCTCAAAACAAAAGATATGTTTGGTATTTTAATGAACCAGTCAATGTTGCACTGTAAGCAGCCCACAGAATATAGAAACAAGGAAAATTAAGAACAGCATTCTGACATGTGACTGTGTCATGACCTTAAACCCTCACCAACCACCTTTTCATCTATATTTTTAAAAATAAGTTAATATTACTGCTCATTTGTTTTTCACATCAAGCTGCTAAGGCTTTGGATCTCAGATTCATTCATAGATGAGAAACATGAACCCCCAAAGATTCCTGGCAATTATGATGAGTTTGATTTGCGAAGAATGAGAGTTTTAAGGAACTCATTTTTTTCTTTACTCTAATTGCATGTTTAGTGCCCAGTTTGGCATAGATGTGCATACAAACAAACTTGAGCACTGTATGAATATTTATTATTAAAATATCTTAAACATACCAATGAAAGTATTAGCCAATACAGTTTCATAAAGCTTCTGTATAGTACATGGTGCAGTGCTTGATAATAAGTTCCTGGAAAGCCTTTCTGTGCTTTAGCAGAAAACAATTTTGTCCAAAGATTACAATAAGTCCCCTTCCCCGATTAAGCATATTTTAGCGTAGTAAAAGAATTAACTATGTACAGTGTCTTCAGAAAGTATGCACCCCCTTGAATTTTTTTTTGCATTTGTTCCTGTTACACATCCAAATTTTAACACTTGAAATGTTTTCTCCCTTCAATAACACAATAAATTCAACACATTTATGAATCAAAATTATTTTTTATTCAAGAACATTAATTCCTCCAGAATTAAAGACTTACATTTCTCATTAACAAAAGTATTCATATTCCTTTAGCAGTAATTACAGCCGTGAGTCTTCTTGGGTATGTCTATATGAGCTTTGCACATTTGAATGTTGTGCCCATTCTTCAATGCAGATTTGCTCCAACTCTGCCAAATTAGATGGAGAGCATCAGTAGACAGCAATTTTCAGGTGATACCACAGATTTTCAATTGGATTCAAGTCTGGGCTCTAGCTGGGCCATTCCTTGGTAGTTTTTGCTGTGTGCTTTGGGTCAGTCTCCTGCTAGAAAATGAATCTTTTCCCTACACGCAGATCTGTGGCTAACTGAAACAGGTCCTCCTCAAGGATTTGCCTGTATTTGGCTCCATCCATGTTTTCCTTGATGGCAACAAGCTTTCCAGTTCCTCCTGCTGAAAAGCAAACCTAGAGCATGATTCTTCCACCATGCTTGACGGTAGTGATGGTGTTCCCCGGGTGTTGGGCTGTATTTGGTTTGTGCCAAACATAGCGCTTTGCTTTGTTTAGCAAAAAGTTTAACTTTAGTCTCATGACTTCCAAAGGTTTCAGGTTTTGTCACATGGCTTCTAGCAAACTCCAGGTGTGACTTAATGTTGGCCTTTCTCAGAAGTGGCTTCCTTCTAGCCACTCTCCCATAGAGGCCAAATCTGTGAAGTGCTGAAGAGATTGTTGATGTTTGGACAGTTTCTCCCATTTCAGCCAAAGAGCTCTGCATCACTGTCAGTGTTGTATATGGCCTCTTGGTCACTTCTCTGACAATTGCCCTTCTTGTCCGGTTGCTCAGTTTGTTAGGATGGCCTGATCTTAGTAGTGTCTGGGTTTTGCCATGTTTTTTCTATTTTGTTACAATGGACTTCACGGTGTTCCTAGGAAGGTTCATAGCTTTGCCAATCTTTTTATAACCTTCTCCAGCTTTTTTCCTCCTAACAACTTTGAAATTCCATGGGCAGCTCCTTGGTCTTCATGACAGCAGGACTGATTTGATCTGCTGTTTTAGTTGTGAGACCTCAGTCAGTGATATTTATTGTGCAGTCAAGCTATTGACCTTGTTAACGTATTTAGTGTGATCTCAAGATAATTGAATACCTCACCCAATTTAGGTTGTTAAAACAAAGGAGGTGAAAAAAATCCTCTTTACATATGCTTTAATTTGACTTTGCAACACAGCAGAATGAGAAATAATCAATGGGGGGTAAATACTTTCTGAAGGCTCTGTATGTGGTTTGGGTTAAAAATGCATCGAGAACTATCATTTTGTGGCTACAAAGAATTAGAATGTTTCCTGAGTGTTCTCAGTGCTGTTTTGTCCAAAAAAGACTGATTTCAATGCGGTGTATCTTATTTTCGTTTATTACCATTTATAAGTAAGATATGTCCTTGGTCATAATGACAGCAATTTTGGAACCTAGGCTTTAAGTACAATAACACCATCACAATAACTGACAAATATGTACGAAGGTTGCAGCTTTTGTTATCTTTTAGATCAGCAGCGCTTGTGAAGACAGCCCTTTCCAAAGTGACTATAGCATAGAAATACACTTCTCAGTTAATCTTTGTCTGGGAAATAGACTGCACTGTTTTATATATCATTTCAAGGTGGTTCTGCTTTGTTTAGTGCTTTGTGCTAGGACTTTCTGATGGCGCATCAGGAAATTGGAGTGTATCCACGTTGGAGCAACATTATGCTGCAAGGTGGGAATTTGTCCAAAGGTGAAATGTATGCTGAGACTTCATTATAGATAACAATAAACATGTCACCATGTTGAAAGGGTTTTGCTAGTATGCAGCTAATATTTTGTGCCAGGGGTTTGATGTTTATTACATTGATAGAGCAGTGATTCTGAGTGAAGGCTTGAGTGAGAGAACAGCGCTATACTAGCCAGTAGCAGCAGGGCTGCTGTGCAGTAGTTGTATGAACAAGTGCTGCAGAGCTGCTGCCAGCTCTGTCTGCTTATAAAGCAGAATACAGTATGGTCATAGGGATACTGATTGTGCTTCATTCTTTGCTCCAGGAGGTGCTTAAGCAACTACAAGGAAGCATTGAAGAAGAATCCATGGGGTCTTCTGGACAAATTGACCTGTTGGAGAGACTGAAAGGTAAGGCTTTTAGCAGGTGGTTTAAATTTATCTGAACCCAAAAATGATTATTTTCAAGCAAATAAGGTGAAAAGTGAATACCCTTTTCAAAATTGGCTGAATTATACTGGGATGAAACTTTCTTGTTATAAATGTAATTGTCAGATTATATGTTATAGTTTTGTACAGACCTTTGCATAAGGAATACCAACATTTGTGTTTGATTATAATATTTAATATGTAAAATTAATTGCTAATGTGAAATTAAACTGCAATGAAAATGTCTACATTTGACAAGTTGATTTTATTATAAAGATTTGAAGGTGGATACTTTCCAAAGTTTGAAAAAAAATCTTTAAAACTACAGAGTCATATTTCCCTTTCCCCTCAGAGGGAATAACATTTCTATTCTAAGCTCTATCAAATATTGAAAGATAAGCTTTGTCCAGCTTGGTTATCCGGAGTATTTGGATAGTCTGTGCGTTTTATCCTTTTTTTAATTTTGGCATGATGCTCTCTTTTATGGGCTGCTAATACAGGTTGTTTGAAGTAAAGGGGGATAACTTAGCTGAATTCAAATGCTTGAAATGTTGCTATGATATATGTGATTTTTTTTTCAGAAATGAACCTTGATGCCAGTAACTTCCCTGGGGTAAAGTTGCGTCCAAAGGTGTCTTTGCGTTCATACGGCAGCCAGGAGGGCTCCATGTCTGGCCGATCAGGGGAAAGTAGTCCTGTCCCCATGGGCTCCTTCCCTAGGAAAGGAGTGGTGAATGGGGGACGGGAGAGCACGGGGTATCTGGAGGAACTGGAGAAAGAGAGGCAAGTTACACCTTGTGTATCTTTGCATTCTTGACATAATGTACAGCATACGTGCATTGTACTCATTTGCAAAACTGGGTGACAACTGAGTTTCATTGTTTTGGGATTTAGACCCTGGAAGTTCTTTTGTACCCTTATGTTTTGTACAAGTTTCGATTTTCTAATGTCTTGACCAAAATTAAAAACACGGGACAATTGGCTGACAAACAGGAGGGGGACATTTGGCTCATGTTGCTTGTTTGTTTTTTAGTAGCTAATTGATATGAGCATGCCTTTCAGTTCTTAGATTGAAGAAGCCAGTGTATCAGCTTCAAAAACGTGAGAGGCTACTGTTGGATGTTGTTGGAACATACCTGTCCAAAATAATTGCAGGTTTTTCTAAATATGATGTTGAAATATGTTCACACCCACTACATTTGTCAAAAATGTTGAAATCCTGTTATGTAGTCATCTTTAAACAACATCAGAAAGCAAAGAAAATCAGGGAACTGGCCAAGGATCTAAGCATTGACCCTCAATATCTCTAATGACAGGAATAAAAAATTCATAAGTCATCCCAGTTTTGTCCTCCAGATGCTAATGGCTGTTACTGCCCATGATGATGAAGTAAAGTATTACTGAAATATGCAGTAAGATAATTGAATTGGGAGGCTAAATCTTCAAAAACAGCACTTTATTGGATACTGTTAGGATTCCATAGTACATCAAAAACATGAATATGTCACATGACAGTTATCTACCAAGTCAAATAGGACCAAATGGTGTGTAGGACAAATTCATCCCTAGTATGATTAACACAGCAAGATAAAGTTCATGTTGAAAAACTTTTGATCAGTGAAGTATGGAAGTCTGTTTTGCATCCTTGGATCTGGGCATCTGTTTGTTAGTTTGGACAGATTTGATTTTGCCATTATATTAGCATATTAGCACATTTGACAGCTCTTTAGGATGGGATCCACTTCATCAGTATAGTGCAGCAACTAACTAAATTGTGCACAGCAACCATTTTGCACCAGCACTCCCATCACAGCTGATTAGGTGGATATGTAAGAAATTGCTTCATTTGAATTAAGTGGGAGATGTTCAGGGAGGTCATTATCAAGGATGTCAGATTGTACAAGGCAAAGATGAATTTAACAAGAACTCCTTCAAGTGTGCAATATTTACAAAATTTGGTGCCCATTTTCCTGTGCTTTCTTTTGTTGAATGAGAACTTATTTAGAAAGGTATTGCAGACTTTACGATCTATTTTGTGTATGTAAATAACCATGTTCACAAGTGAAAGTGACAATTTTTCATGCAAATAATTTAACATTATACCTGTTTTTCTTAAGAATTATATATACTGTTTTATTTTACTTATTTTTTTCTTCCTCAGTTCTTAAATTACATGGTAAACTGTTTATTTGATAAATGTGTTCCCTAGATTGGGCATTGAATTTAGAAATGTGATGAAGGTGATTCAGCAGTAAACTAGATCTAGATTCTTCAATGTGACCTTCTTGCTCCCGCAATGTTGCCATGTTCTTCTGTGGGTCTGAGCAGAGAATTGTAATTGATTTTTTTTCTGCCTCTCCAGGAAAATATCATTATACTCTTGGTTTTATTCATTAGGCTAAGGCAGGAGCAAGCTCACTTCTCTACAAACAAGCTGCGATAGCTTTGTACTAAATATTAATTTGCTAGTATGATCTCCATTTGAGATCAGTGACAATGCATTTTAAGTTTGCACTTCATAGAGATGTGTTTTATGAAAGGATACCCTTTTTTGATGAGATCAGTATTTACATTGACTCTATTAAATGTGCAGTTCGACCCATGGCAAATCTGATGTTGCAAAATGTTTTGCATGCCTTTCGGAACATTTTTGCAAAAATTGTAAAGGACAGCTTTTCCTGATAAAAACCATATTAGAGCTCTTTAAAGAGTTAGCGTAAAACAAAATGACTGTTGTGTAAAATGTAAAATCTATACAATTCACAACCACAATCAATTACATGAATCTGGCCAAATATAGACCTAGATGAAAAATCCACTATAGACAAATTTAAAAGCTGTTTAAAATGTAATCATTTGTGCATACTCGTGTTTGTTGGAGGGGCTCAGCATTCACAGTTATTGTATTCTAAGTACAACATTAATAACCTTTTTCAATAAAGATAGTTCAGTGATATGTAGTTCTTGAAGGCATTACTGTGTTATTTGTGTAGCCAGCAAGGAAGGATGTTGAGTTGTAACAAAATGCCCAGGAATGATTTTAGTTCTCTAGCCTGATGGTTTGAAACTAATGTTTTTAAAAGGTATTTTCTGAATTTTGTATTGTTTCATCTCCAGACTTGCAGTTGCAGTTTTATGTTATGAGGCTTTCTGGGTAGTGCATATACTTCAAGGCAGTGATGGTGTCTTTCAGCATCTGTTCAAAATTAATACTGGACAGTGACAGCAAATAAGTTATTTCCAAAGAACCTTTAAGGTTCTACAAAATCACATGCTGATTGATATAGGTCTGTCTTTTTATAAATTAAGTGTTGCCATAGGAAATGATCTGCTTTCATCACAGAATTAAAGTCGAGTATTATCTAAACAGGTTAATCTAATCAGCCTGACTAGGTTGACACAGATTCTCTTCAAGCAAAATCCAAAATCTTGCTAATGAAGTTCTGCTTTTCATCTTCGAAAGTGTTTAGAACCTCCCAGTGGAATCGTATTGGAAGATTTGCTTCTCTGCACTTCAGAGAAAACTTGAGTCATCCTCAATTGCAAATTAAGCTGACATTTTCCTTTTATTTCAACTTCCAGAAAATTTCAGTTTCCAAAAATGTATAGACAGTCTAATTCTAGTAAATGTACCAAAAAATGAGAAGGGCTGATAGCACAGAGGACAGAAAAAAAATCTAAGATGGAGCAATAGGAAACAACTGGTTGAGCAATCTGCATGTTCAAAGCACTTATAACTTTTACGTAGTTTCATCATTGTTGTTAACCCATTAAAGCTCAATTATCAGTATAGAGTAAATTGGTAATTTTGTTGTTATTATAGCATTTTAAATATACATAGTGGCATACAAAACTGGATATACCATCATAGACATATTGACATCAATAAATGTAACAAATATAAGGCATCTGTTGCAATTGATTTGCAATGCGGATAAAGTTGGAGCCCTTTTAATATAATTGTTGCGTATCTCAGTGATCTTAAAGCAGAATATGGAATTGTTGCCCAAACAGATTAATGTATAGACTGTTATGGACACATTTAGTCACTTTTCTCTCAAAAAGATCTCAAACAACAGTTTGTTTTAACTTTTCCTCCTTGTAGTTAATTCTGAAATTAACTAAACTCTTAAAAGAAACTCTTAATCAGTTTCTTTTCATCAATGTTTTGTAATATCTACCTTTTATCCACACTACAATATATCTAGCCATTTAGTTCCTCAACTAAAGTCAAGGTTACAATAATAGGGAAAGATCTCAGCAGTAGGTACAGTGGGTTCTATTTGTATACATGATGTGCAGTATTCTATGCAGTGATTTCATGTAAATCCCTTTTTATTTGGTGCTCAACGTTTTGATGTGTGGGAACAATAAAATATTTCAAATGAGGGACACTTTGCATACTGAAGCCAAACCAAAACATTTAGTATAATAATGTTAATGCTCTTTTCACTTAAGTATGTAAGTAGTGATCTGTGATTATTTTAGTTGGCTACATTCTGGTGATGTATAGTAATTAATGTGGAAAATATTTTTGAGTATAATGTTATGTATGAAAAAAAGATACTGACAGTCGGAAAATGTATACCTCTCCTGTACTAAGTTTGTACTATACACTGTACATCTTTTGTCTGATGTGCAACCATAAAATGTATTAGTAATTCTTTTCATATAACATAGAAATAACCCAGAAAAAATGTTAAGATTGTTAAAGTGTATCTTATGTACACACAAATTGACATCATTTGCATTTGAATCTTGTTGTTCAAAGTAATAGACAACATGAAAATTGAAGAATGCTCCTGAACACTATTAGAACTATCTAGTATTTACAATGTTATTCCTGTCATGGCTAAGAAGGTCAATGAGATATCTTAATATTCCAGTAAAATATAGCAGTTATAGTATTTAAATATAAATACATTAGTCTGTAAAATGTAAAAATGAGAATCAATTAAAATTCTTATGCTTAGTAAAAAGTTAAAAGTAGGTTCACATAGGTACAAGATCAGGTTTTCTTTTCACTCCTTAGCCATATTTGGAAGAAAAAAAGTGTTGCATGGGTGTAAATTCAATATTAGATAATTAATTAATGTTAATTAATTATTAATGTTGCTTTATTAGCCCCATACAATTTCTTGCATTAGGAATTCATCTTTTCGCATACCCCAGCTTGCTCTCCATGAGCCATAGACACACAGACAGGGAGAGAAGCTTGGGGTCAGAGCGCAGGGTCAGCCATTGTACAGCGCCCCTGGAGCAGTTGGGGTTAAGGGCCTTGCTCAGGGGCCCAACGGACTAGGATTCCTCTGCCCGCTGTGGGATTTGAACCGGCAGCCTTCCAGTCACAGGCACAGATCCTTAGCCACAGAGCCACAGCTCCGCCAAGATAGTTGGCATTTGTAGACCCTTTTTTTTTTTTTTATACATGTTAACTAAAGAAAAATGTGCAGTGGAGACTTGCTCACTTTGCAGATTTTGTTTCTATCATATCTTTCATGATAGATTTTTCCACGTTGACTGCTTTCGGAAACGGACAGCTATACACATATCTTGCCCAGAGTGTTACACGAAGGCTCATTCATGTGTGTGCAAACTGAATTATTTCCAGCCTTGTCCCTCTCAGTGGGCACGTGTCAGTCTCATGCTATAATTAGAGAGCACTGAGAAAGAACTGCATTCGTCTCTAATCAGATTGTAAGCCTATAGTCAAATGAAGCTGTACTGTTTAGGTTGAGGTAAACAAGAATACAGTGAAACGGCGATAAAAATTGTGATGCATTTGCTGGTTTAGCTTTCAGGCAATTGGAGATCACTTGTATACTATATTTTCATATATTCAGTTTATACACATCAATAAACTCTTAGATAAAATTTGAATGAATACCTGAATCTTAGTACTGAAGTCTATTCAAATACAGAAGCCACATGCAATTGTGGTATTTTTGTTGTTTCTCTATTTGATAAATGTGCCCATTAAACACAAAACAGACATGAATATTTGTGTACAAGACTTACTAGTATGTGTTTAAAAAACCCTTTATGAAATGTATATGCAGTTTTTATTAAATCTTTCATCTGGTTACTCGATTGATTTGATATACAGTTACGATTGAATACCATGTGAAATGGAATAATATTGTGATAAAAATCAAGAATGAAGTCGTACATAGACGAATGAAATTGGACCTGTCTATACTGGAGGTTTTATTCTGTGATTCTGAGCAATCATGAGGAGAAAAAAAGGGGAAATCTCTGGGTTTTGTCAGTCTGGCCTATCTATTTTTTCTCTTTCATTTTCTGCATGAAGCAGCTCCTCACTTTTCTTTCTGATGTGCATTAATTCACCTGTGAGGGTGTATATTTCAGTGACAATGCATATATATATGTAATGTGTTTAGCATTCTTTGGGATGAAAAGTGCATGATGCATGAAATGCAAAAACATTTCTGGCACAAGGGGGTCATATTCTGTTGAGGTTGAAGCATAAATGGGGGATTCAATGAAGATTATTACTGTTGGGAAGTGAAAAACTAACCATTCAAGTGCATCTAAATCTGTTTGGCACTGCTGCATGATCTGTGATGTTTTGACATTGAAAGACCATTACTAAGCAATAACTAGCTTATTTTTCTGCCCCTCAGACTACAGGGTTTAAATGTGAGTACCTAGTGAGGCACATTCTGATTAATATACATAGACTAATTCAAACGTATAAAATAAAATTTTATAAGCAACTTTTTCTTTTCTTAGGTCTTTATTACTGGCCGAGTTGGAGAAAGAAGAGAAGGAAAAGGACTGGTATTATGCTCAGCTTCAGAATCTCACAAAAAGGATTGATAGCCTTCCCCTTACAGAAAATGTAAGTTAGGGTGATAGTATCTTGTCTGGTGGCATTTTGTCATCTCCAACTACTTTACACAGCTATCACGTGAGGAAAACCCTGAGGTTAGAGCAGTTCAATGAGCTACTTGGAGATTTATACTGATGTTCCATTTTGAAAACTTGTACAGACAAACTTGTACTTATTACAAAATATAATTTATCTATAGTTCCAGCCCCCCAGAACTTTCATTGTTTAAACAAGATGTTTCACTCTTTGTTTATAACATCTTGAATACATTGTAATATTTCCTTGTGAACGTTAACTAAAAATGGAAGTACTATTAAAGCTTAGGCAGTATCACAACAGTTGGACAGGACAAGGTCATATACTGATATTTTCAATTTTATTTAAGGACTTTTTTTAAATAAGACAATTTAAATACATTTTAAGACTTCATTTTAGTATTTAGATGATGGCTTAACAGACTTAAAATGTTTTTAAGGAGATTTTTTAAATGATTTTTTTATTTTTCTAATGTCTGCCTTCAAAATGTACTTTTCTATCTACAGATGTGTGTGAGTTTAACTTTAAAAGTGGTCAAGAAATTTGATGAAAATGTTTATATAATATGCTACTAGAAAGTTGAGTATTGACAGTTGTCAAGCATTCCTGTCTAACAACTGCCCTTTAAATATTGGGAATGGATAACTTCTTTAGCTTTGTCTAAAGCAGCTTTTGGGCTTCATTTAGAAACTTTGAGTTGGATTTTTGGTTCTCTCAAACAACAAAAGCATCCCATTGGGCATCGACATCTGTTTAACAGGATATGTATATACATTTTTGGTTTTGTGAAGGTTTTACTGATGTGATACTGTTATGCAGTTTTCTCTGCAGACAGACATGACCCGCAGACAGCTTGAATATGAAGCGCGACAGATAAGGGCAGCAATGGAAGAACAACTTGGAACATGTCAAGACATGGAGAAGCGAGCACAGGTAGCTTAATTAAATCTTATATTCATCCTTCATACAGGGTGCATACTTGGTTTTTGACAGATGAGTATGGTGAAATTTATATGCTGTAAGTGACATTGAGGGCCCCCAGAGGTTTTGTCTGATTTTCATTCATCTATGAAGTGAATTGAGGAGGGTTAGAAGTAAAACTGAGCAAGATAGTACTTGAATATTCTAGTTGTGGTCAAAATTATTGGTTCATGTGCCAGAGAGACACCAACTGAACATTATCTTCAGTCAGGCCACGCATGAAGAAGTGAAAACTGAACTCCATTCTCCTGGGTTCACCAGCATGGAAAATTGGCTGATTGGGTTCATCAGCTGGAAAGTGTGGGCTAGACGATGAGGTCATTTTCACTTGTGCTGGATTAAGTGGTGATCTGGAGTTTCATGTGGGCTTTTCAAATTGTGCAGATGGTAGTGGTAAAATGTACAATTTAGCTCAGTGTTTCAGGAGATAAAATTGAAACAGTGGAAAAATATTAAGAGTATTGCATCACATGGTATCTAAAATTATTATTACATCATCATCCTGCTTTCTAAGGGAGACCGTGTGGTAAATAACTTATCTTTCTCTGTTCTGCAGCCTTTTAGTTTATTTATTACTAAGTGGGTTTAAAATGTAAGTATATGGAACCCATTGGCACTAAATTCATAAGATTATTTAAGATCTTGTTGCTTCTGTTGAATATCTTTTAGGCAAGAGTGGCTAGAATTCAGCAGATTGAGAAGGACATGCTTCGTATTCGCCAACACTTACAGTCCCAGCCAGGAGAATCAGAGGTGGGTACAAATGACAACATGTTTAAGACAGTTGTGATGTGAACTCCTGCAGTGCTTTCAATTTTTTGAACTGTTATGCCCTAATGACCACTAGATCCTCCGTATTATTAAAGATAAGGGTGTCAGGAAAGGAATTTTACCTCAGACGATAAAGTATCACAAGGTACCAGCGTGGTGGGGGTGGGGTACTGTTGTCGCTGTTACTTAGTCCTTAGATGAACACTTGAAGGGGAGTTTGTATGAAATGAATTTTGTTCTATTTGTGAACTTAAAAATTAGTTCTCAAAACTGATTTGTATTACACATTTTTATAATCATAAGAGTTGCTAATTTCTTCTATATTCTTTGTAAAGCTGATGCATTTATTAGGAGTTTGAGACATTAAATACATGGTAACTACCAGTAATTGTATTTTGCAGTAAGAGGCATGTTGTGAAGATAACTGTTATGTTTCTCTGATGGACTTGTCAGAGGGCTATTATGGCTTTTGTTTTTCACTGGCATGGATGATTAGGCCCCTGCTGTATTTTCTCCTGCTATTTTAAATCTTAGTAGGATGTTTGTCTGTAAAACTGTTTGCAGCATTCTTGCTGCAGCTGTGGATATGAAAAAAACAGTAAAACAAGGAGCCAGCCCACGTCTGCATCTGTTACCTGAATAGCCTGCTTAACTCAAGAACCCCCACCATCTCCCACTTAACTTTGTGCTGAAATAAAAAAGGGTTAAAAATTAAAATTTTTAAAATGTAACATTAAAATGTAATATGCAAAATTAAACATTAATCCTAGAAAGAGTGGTCTGTATCATTGCAAGATTGCCAAGGTTGCAAGTTTCAATAAAACATTTTTGGAAATGGAAACCTTTAGTAAAAAGGGCAGAAAACCTTTTCATGTTTGATTTTGTAGTATAATATTTTATAGGCTTAGATTGTTTTTTTGGTATTACGAGCCATGCTATAAATAATAGCTCAGGAGCTCTGCATTTGCCTAAAGAGATGTGATTGAATCATGTGACTGTGTGCACAAATGACAGCTTTGTGCATCTTTTCTCCTGTTACATTTGATGATTATTTTCAAGAAAAGACTATATAGGAAAAAGAAAATGAATGCCATGGAATTTGTTTTAATGTAGCTAGTCCTTATGAAGTTTTTGAGGTTGCAAATCTTCAAGGTAACTAGTGTAGTGGAATAATAGAATAATTTTCCCCTCTTACCCACCCATCCCCCTTTCAGAGAAAACCCAATCTGAGCTACTGATTATTTAGGTCAGGGGGATACGGAGTAGAGTAGAAACAGCAGATGCTTGAACAAAATGTAATGATAGCAGCTGGCAAACACTGCCTGTTGCCAATGCTGTGTGCTGATGCTTCATGGTGAGGTTGTTGTTTACACAGAAGGCGTCGCAAACCAAGCATGACCCAGCTTCACGTGATTCAGAGAGACAGAATGAGGCAGGACAGGCAGCCGCAGAATCTGGAATGGGTTCCACGGGGTGTGGTCAGGTAGGTAAACTTACGTTTTCTCTTGCGCTCCATCTCTGTATCAAATACAAGAGCAACAACTGGCGAATAGTGCTGAATACTGCGGGGGTTGTCCGATTACTTAGCAGTAAACAAACCTGACCTGATTATGCCATCATTCTGCTGCTTCTGGATTTTCTTCTTTCAGGCAGCCTGTTTAAACCATTTTAAGCTGTGGCACAGAGAATAGCATTGAAACTGGAGGTTTGGTCTGGCTAACTCCACATAACCATGTTTGTACAGAATCTTGAATTCTGATTTTGATTTCCCTTACTTGACTGTGCAGCCTCAGATAAATTGAAAAGATAGTCAATTTTATTTCATGTACAGAAATTTTATTTCTGCATTAAAAGTGAAACTTTAGTTTTCTTTAGTCTTACTGTAATCACCAAATTTTATACTAGGTGTGCTTTATGACTGTGGAATTTCTTAATTGTTAATTTCACACACAACAGTAATTTTCAAAAGCTATACAAGGTGTAAGACTGCTGTCTTAAATTCGAAGCAAGGAATTAAATGCTGTTTTGCTGACCAAAGGCAATTTTTTATGATTGGGAACAAGTATGTGTTTTAAGTGGATTGATTTTAATTACATTATTCCTGCTACCTTTTGTATAGTGCATTGGTTGTGCTTACTGTAATTTTATATTGCAGCAGGCAAAAGGCTGTTTGGTAGATGCTTAACATATTTCACCTCAGGCAGGAGTATACATTATCATTTTATCCTGTTCCTGAAATGATTTCTGTATGTAAAACGTCAGTGGTAATAATAAAAGGTGGAAGAACCGGCTAGCCATCATTAATTGGTGGTGATAGCACTTTGTTTCCCATACACACACTACTATTAACTCGATGAGCATATTTGCAAACTGCCATCATTATGGTTGTTACAAGCGCACGTCTTTACTGAGGGTACTATACTCCATGTTTAACAGCTGAACTTAGTCTTCAGTCATTTAATGATCTCTGACGATATGGATGCTATTTTTGTATTAGCTTTCTGATGAGTGCATGCAGTTGTTTGATCAAAAGCTGCATGCAAAAATCAGTCACAGTCATGTTTTTTTTTTTCTGCAAAACCAGAGGAGATGCTGTTTTTATCTTGTACTGCACTTCTGAATGCAGTGGTTAGGATGTACAGTATCGTCATGGTACTACAAAACATTAGGCGAAGGTCCAGCTTAAATAATTTTAGTGGTATCCAAATGACATTTTAGAACAGAAATAGCCATTAAGTAATGATGTGCATCTGCTCAGTTCCATCTATTACAATTATATTACACTTGGTTGGTTACACAAAGCAACTTGTGTTTTAGCAACATTGATTACCTTCTCTCAATACTTGTTACAGCTGGGATTAATGATTTCAGTTGGAGATGCTCTTTGTAACTGGTGTATTTCTAAACTATATTAATAGGTGAACTGGGGGTTGCATTAATGTCTCATATGAGGCCTTATTGACAGATTTGGTTTTGCATGGCAGAAAAGTATGATTTTAGACTTCTAGCCTTATAGTATATGTAATTTGTTAAAGGAGTATCAGCATGTTTTCATAATTAAGTTTGTTCAAAATGTATGATAGCTCATTCCTTTTGTCATCTCTACAGGTTATGAAGCAAATGCACGTTTCTGTTGTGGGGGCCCTCTGCAATTGCTTTTGTCTTCAGCCTTCTTGTCATTTTATCATATCTGGAGGATTTATTTCCTTTACAATGCTGCAATTTGTACAGTGCAGAACTTGTCATTGCATCTCGAACAACTTGATACAAGCCTGAACAAACTTTCTGTAGCGATTCTAATTTAAACCTGAAGAATGGACAAAACTGTTAATGCTGCTAAAGACTGGTTGATAAACCTAAAATAGCAATCAGCTAACACATTTTTTATACTTCAAAGTTACTGAAATAACTACATTACTTTTGGTAATACATTGGGATGGCCTGTGTTGTGGCACAAAATATCATCAAGGTTTATTCACAATCAATTTTAATCATTCCTGTAGTCTAAAGTCTTCCGTGCCCTATTTTGTCTGGTTTTTGTCTCTGCAGGGTCCAAGTGCCCGAATGGATCACGAGGCAGCCAATGAAATGAGCTGTAGTTATTCTGTCCCAAGACGACTGACAAGTCACCTGGGTACCAAGGTAACCGAAGATTCCAAGCCCCAGGTTGCTACACTGCATTTTTACTAATAAAATAATTGTAACAGTTCTTTGGCTGTGTTTGTTTGGATAGTCTTACTAACAGTTTTTCAAAATTGCATGTTTGTAAACTGAAATATGAAATGTGGCTATACATTTTGTTCAGTCTTGCTTTATATTTCAGTATAAATTTCATAATTTGAACTAGACGTTGCATTCAGTGTAACATGTAGTTTTGTATATGTGAACTGAAGTCGGAACAAATGGTAGCTGGGCACAAAACAAATATAAATGCATTTGTTATAAAGTGAACATTTATATGCACTTAAGGGCATACAAGGTAGTTCTCCTACCTTGTAAATAGTTAAATATGATTAGTCTAAATGTTTCTATTTTTAACAATGTTAAATTAAATTAGTTAATTTAAATGAAGCTCTTTTTGTATGTTCTCATCTTAATCTTAAATTTCCAAAGTTTATTAAATGTTTCTGATTTTGAATTTACTTTAATCTGTTATTTTCCAGCAGAGGCAAAAATTCATTTTTACATGTAGCTGTTCTTTGTTTTGACTTTAGGTGGAAATGGTTTATTCTCTTCTCTCAATGCTCGGTACCCACGATAAAGACGACATGTCTCGTACTTTGCTGGCAATGTCAAGTTCCCAGGACAGCTGTATTGCAATGCGGCAATCGGGCTGCCTTCCTTTGCTAATCCAGCTGTTGCATGGCAATGATAAAGACTCGGTGCTGCTGGGTAATTCGCGAGGCAGTAAAGAGGCCCGTGCAAGGGCCAGTGCAGCTCTACACAACATCATTCACTCGCAGCCTGATGACAAGCGAGGGAGACGAGAGATTCGTGTTCTTCACCTCCTGGAGCAGATCCGGGCCTACTGTGAAACCTGTTGGGAATGGCAAGAGGCCCATGAGCGGGGAGTGGATCAGGACAAAAATCCCAGTAGGTTATTTCTCCTGAACATTTGAGTGAGGATGCTGGATTTTTCTGCATCATGGTACCTTGCATGAACTTGATATTGAGAATTGATTGATTACAGTTTTTGTTTTGTTTTTCTGTGAAAAATATTTGTGGACTCTTGACATAAATAAGCTTTCTGATATTTTATAGTTTTTTTTTGTAGGTTGTTTAAAATGTATTAACGAGTGTTAGTGTTAGTTGCAAATGTTAATCCTCTGCACAGAACCTTTTTTTTTGTTGACTGTAGTGATAGTGTTTTTGGAAAAAAAAAAGCAACATGCAATTAATAAGGAAGACATGCAAACAATGAAATGATCCAAAGGGTGGTGTATTCAATAAATTGGTAAAAGAAGAGTCTTGTAGCCTAGAAGGTGCATTTTTTTTATTCCTAGCTCTGCCAACCATGGCATGGACTTCCCAAATGATGCATGTGCTTGTTGTCTGGCTGATACAGAGCCTTCAGAGGTAGTATGTCAAGTTAAATGCCAGCAGGGCTATCCAAAAGTGGGAATTATACAGATCAAATATAATTGCTTTTTTAAACGCTGTAAATCTATCAGTATTTATAAGCTTTTCATTGCTTCAAATCTGAGGGAAAAAATGCCATTTTAATTGCAAATTAAAATTCGATAGAAATATATCAATCATATTAAGTGTAGTAGTATTGGTTGCCATGCATGTCCTGGTGAGGTATGTAACTCTCACTACAGCAGCTTGGACATTAACCTTTTCATGTATATGTCTGATATGATTGTGCTATATATCCAATTCTATTTAAACTCCTATTCACAATGGCGCAAGTTAGTTGTAATATGATAGTTTTGGTTTTGAGCTTAAACTTGCCTTAAGATACTTTTGACATCAATACAATGAATAACTGCAATATAATTCAATTAGGTCAGAGATTAAACAAACTAGTATTAGAAGATTTAAAGTTGAACTGTAGAATTTATATGCATTATTGGGGTTAAAATTATTAAACTTGTTTAATGATCAGTTTTTTCATCATTTCCTTGTTCCAATTATGGTCAAGGTCAGGGGATATACTCGAGAGGAGCCAAGCATTTTTACCTCTATTTCACACATTTTAAACCAAGACTATGCAGTTATAGTAGTTTATGTAAAAATCAACATAAAAAATATAAAGGTTACAAATGAGAGGTGTACATTAAGCTCATCTGGCATATTTGATGGTTAGTAAATTACAGATCCAAGGATCTTATCCAGCCTGGTTTTGGTTTTAAACATATTTCCATGTAGTGTCCTGAAAGTTATAGTGCTTTGAATTTATAATGTAATAAAAGTAATGTTAAGTAATATTTTGCATTTCTGGAGTGCAGTTGGTCATATGGTAGTGGTTCACTAGCTACTCAGGGGCTCATAATGTGACAGTATCTGTTTGTCCATTTAGTTTGGACTGTGTTCATGTTTTTTTTGTGGCTTTGGTCATTTATCTGGAATAATTTTTCTAATGGGTAATTGCCACCTACATAATCTGTTGATCGTATTGCGTGCTTTGTTAATGATACTAGTAATGCAATTGGATGTTTTTCTTTTCTTGATCTTCTAGTGCCTTCTCCAGTGGAGCATCAGATCTGCCCTGCTGTGTGCGTACTGATGAAACTGTCATTTGATGAAGAACACAGACATGCAATGAATGAGCTAGGTAAAAAATCCAACTTTACTACAGAACTTTCTCAATGTTCTTTGTATTTAGTAGGAATTTACAAAATAAGTATACATGAGTTAAAATAAGAAATTAAACTATATATGTTCAATCCCTGCCTGGTTTTGTTGCTGCCTTTATCTGTCTCTGCTTATTGCACTGAATTAAATTGAGTAATTTGATTTCAAACAATACAATGTCTACTAAAAGCAAATCATTTTCTTATTCCTCTCAGCCTGATCATTTTCAGCAGGTTTGTCATCTGTGTATATGATTGTAAGCCATGATTTGTGATAATTCTCCTTCCTTCAGCCTGTCTGACCCTGTAAACCATTTCTTTTCTAGAATACTACTAACACAGATTGTAGAATGACCTAGATGAGTTTAAAGACATCCATGAAAAAACTCTATTCAGTGTTTTAGTATTTTATTTTTACCTTTTTTTTTTTCAGGAGGACTGCAAGCTATTGGAGAGCTGTTGCAGGTAGACTGTGAAATGTATGGACTCACTAATGACCACTACAGTGTAACTTTAAGAAGATATGCAGGAATGGCATTAACAAACCTGACTTTTGGAGATGTGGCAAATAAGGTAGGGGTAGAATTAAACTGACTCAGCTTCCTAATATATTAAAATGTTATTTTTATATATTCACCTGCATTTTCTTTCAAATTAACAGGCAACTTTGTGTTCGATGAAAGGCTGCATGAGGGCAATGGTTGCCCAACTTAAATCTGAGAGTGAAGATCTACAGCAGGTACGGTGTTTTGTCAATACAATAAAAGTTCAGGGGCTTTATTGTACGGAGATATAAAGACAAATATGAAATACAAATTGTAGTGATGCATTATAAGCCCTAAGAGAAGAAGCAGAAAAAAAAACTCAGAAAAGACTCAGGCCAAAAATAGTTTCATCATTCAGAATGCATTTATAGTACTTTTGCTCAGATGGTACAGTATTAGCTACATAGTCAAATTCATTTGTAATATTAAGTAGGGTCTGCCATTGGGGCGGAGCGGTGGCTCTGTGGCTAAGGATCTGCGCCTGTGGCTGGATGGTTGCCGGTTCAAATCCCACAGCCGGCAGAGGAATCCTACTCCGTTGGGCACCTGAACAAGGCCCTTAACCCCAACTGCTCTAGGGGCGCCATACAATGGCAGACCCTGCGCTCTGACCCCAGGCTCTCTCCCTGTCTGTGTGGAGATCATGGAGAGCAAGCTGGGGTATGCGAAAAGATAATTCCTAATGCAAGAAATTGTAAAAGGTTAATAAAGTAATGTTATATTATATATTAACATGCATTGTATAATTTTAACAACATCTCTTTACTTCAGTTCTGCACTTCACTATTTTGTTTTATTGTCTTTATTTTTAAAACATTACTTGCATTGTTGCTTTTTTGAGGATCATTGACATGCATCTTACTTGTAATGTGTATTGTTACTGCCTAGATCAATTACTAGTTTACTGTGCATTTATTGGTAATATTATGTAATACTTCTATATCTGTACATTTAGCTATTTAGCCATGTTTGCCAAGTCAGGATCATTGATATAAATTAGGAAGTACTGCTGTCCAGTAAATAGAAATGTTCATGGCAGCCCACACATTTTCCCATTGTAATTACTCTGTCGTATACTTATGGATATTATTCCACATTTTTAAATGGAAATAAAATATCTATTTGCAGGTTATCGCAAGTGTTCTGAGGAATTTGTCTTGGCGAGCGGATGTTAACAGTAAAAAGACTTTGCGTGAAGTGGGCAGTGTCAAAGCACTCATGGAATGTGCTCTGGATGTAAAGAAGGTAAAATTGAAGGATTATTTTTTTCTATGGGTTTATAAAACAAATGACTTTCAAAGCATGATTTCTCTGTTTTATGACTGTATTTTAAAGCACTTTTAATAATTTTTTCTAAAGTGTAGATAATGTTTGATCACTTTACTCCTATTTTACTGTAGAGATGTGTATAAATGTGGATTTCACAGTAATTAATAATTACTTGTTTAGTTTTCCTCACACATTTGTTACACAAATGCCAACAATTTTGTTTATACAATGTTTTAGGCATACATTTTACTATGTGTATTTTGCTTCGCATTTTTGGTTCTTTATAACTCATTTGCATTTTTTTTTCTTAAAGGAGTCTACCCTTAAGAGTGTCTTAAGTGCTCTGTGGAACCTGTCAGCCCACTGCACTGAAAATAAAGCTGATATCTGTGCTGTGGATGGTGCATTAGCGTTTTTAGTTAGCACTTTAACATATAGAAGTCAAACCAATACCCTTGCTATCATAGAAAGTGGAGGAGGCATCCTACGAAACGTGTCCAGTCTAATCGCAACAAACGAAGAACATAGGTACGTATCTGGTTTATATTCAGTACTTTTAGAATTAAAATCTGTTTTACAGGAAAAAAAAATACAAATAGAAGGAAATCTCAAAAGTTCAAACATCACACAATATATATAGTGCTTGTGAAGGTATACAATTCAAAAGAAACATGGATTTTATATAATCGTCTTTCAACAATTTAACTTTAAACTAGTGGATATCTATATCTATTACTTTGTTCCAATGCATGTTTGTTCCATTTGGGATCTTAATTTGATAAGAAGTTAATGTGTTTAATCAAAATTAACAGTATCCTCAAGTCCAAAGATGCATTTTATATGTAAGAAAAAGAGGTCTAAGTTTTTTTTAACATTCAATACCTGTTTTTCCTTTTCTTTAGGCAAATACTGAGAGAAAATAACTGCCTACAGACACTACTTCAACATCTGAAATCTCACAGCTTAACAATAGTCAGTAATGCATGCGGAACACTGTGGAACCTTTCTGCTCGAAATGCAAAGGATCAAGAAGCATTGTGGGACATGGGAGCTGTTAGCATGCTTAAAAACCTGATTCACTCAAAGCACAAAATGATTGCAATGGGCAGTGCAGCAGCTTTAAGGAACCTCATGGCCAACCGACCAGCTAAATATAAGGATGCCAACATAATGTCCCCGGGATCTAGCTTGCCTTCCTTACATGCTAGGAAACAAAAGGCTTTAATAGAAGAATTAGATGCACAACATCTCTCAGAAACATTTGATAATATTGATAATTTGAGCCCCAAAGCTTCACATAGAAGCAAACCAAGACATAAACAAAATGTCTACAGTGAATATGTTTTGGACTCAGGACGTCATAATGATGATGGATTATGTAGGCCAGAGAGTTTTAATCCTAACAATATTACAGTGCTTTCACCTTACATGAACACTCCGGTGCTGTCTAGCTCTTCATCTCGAGATAGCAGAGGAAATTCAGAAGGTTCTAGAGCTGAAAAGGATCGAAGCCTTGACAGAGAAAGGAGAGGAGCTGGGCCTGGTGGGTTCCACCCTTCGACAGATAACACTTCCAAGAGAATAGGCATGCAGATATCTACAACAGCAGCACAGATTGCTAAGGTTATGGAAGAAGTACAGAGCATGCATATATCCCAAGAGGAAAGGCCTGTTGGAACGTCTACAGATATTCATTGCATGCAAGAGGATATAAGTGGCATAAGGCGTTCATCCACTCATACACATTCAAATGTGTATGCCTTCAATAAACCAGAACATCCAAATAGGACATGTCCAATGCCATATGTAAAAATGGAATACAGGGCATCAAATGATAGCTTGAATAGTGTGAGTAGCAGTGATGGGTATGGCAAAAGGGGTCAAATGAAGCCATCGGTGGACTCTTACTCAGAAGATGATGAAGGGAAATTCTGTAGCTATGGCAAATATCCAGCTGACCTAGCTCACAAAATACATAGTGCCAATCATATGGAAGACAATGATGGAGACCTGGACACTCCAATTAATTACAGTCTGAAGTATTCTGATGAACAGCTGAATTCGGGAAGGCAAAGTCCTAGTCAAAATGAAAGATGGGCAAGACCTAAACATCTTGTTGAAGATGAAATGAAACGAAATGATCAGAAATCAGTGAGATCTCAAAATCAAGCTTATCAAATGTATACTGAAAGCACTAGTGATAGTGAAGAAAAACACATGAAATATCAGTCTCGGTTTGTACAGCCAGAGTGTCCTGGTGGCTTCAGAAGGAGCTCCAACAGCTCTGAGCAAAGCAGGGGTAGCTCTAGTCATGGTATGAACAAAAAGATAAGTCAGCCGATGTGCCCAGTTGATGATTATGAAGATGATAAACCGACAAACTACAGTGAGCGCTATTCAGAAGAGGAGCAACATGATGAAGAGGATCAGCCAACAAATTACAGTATAAAGTATAGTGAGGAGCATCACCATGTTGAACAACCAATTGATTATAGTTTAAAATACTCATCAGAATCCCCCTCTTCCCAAAAGTCTATGTTTACTCATTCAAAGTCATCATCTGCTAAGAGCTCGGCAAAGGATCATTTAACACAGGGTAGTGGAACTTCATCTGGTACAGCATCCAAAACATCCAGCAGACAAAGCCAGCTACATCCTTCATCAGCTCAGACACGATCTGGGCCACCTCAGGTGCACCAAAAGACTTCGACATGCAAGGCACCCTCCATTAATCAAGAAACCATACAAACATACTGTGTGGAAGACACTCCAATCTGCTTTTCAAGGGGCAGTTCCTTGTCATCACTTTCTTCTGCAGAGGATGAAATGGAAGGGCGTGAGCAACCCAGAAGTTCTGCAAATAATTACCCAACTCTGCCAATTGTTGACAAAGAAGCCAGTGGTGTTTTGTCTGAACAGCCTGTAGCTGAAGGCCAGTCATCATCTCAGTACATGAGAATGAAGCCTCATAGAAATCAGGCTTCTAACGTGGCAACATCTGATGGATCAAGACATAAAGCTGTTGAATTTTCTTCTGGTGCCAAATCTCCATCCAAAAGTGGAGCACAGACTCCCAAAAGTCCCCCAGAGCACTATGTACATGAGACACCTCTAATGTTTAGCAGGTGTACCTCAGTCAGCTCTCTGGATAGCTTTGAGAGTCACTCAATTGCCAGTTCTGTACAGAGTGAACCATGTAGTGGCATGGTTAGTGGAATTATTAGTCCAAGTGATCTTCCAGACAGTCCTGGGCAAACAATGCCCCCAAGCCGAAGCAAGACTCCGCCACCACCACACGCAACTCAGATTAAACACAAAATGAAAGTGCCTACGCATGTTGAAAAGAGAGAGCTAGCTCCAAGACATGTAGCTGTAAACACTGCTGTTCAAAAAGTCCAGGTACTTCCGGACAATGACACACTCTTACATTTTGCAACCGAAAGCACACCAGATGGATTTTCTTGTTCTTCAAGTTTAAGTGCACTAAGTCTTGATGAGCCCTTTATTCAGAAAGATATTGAACTTAGAATTATGCCTCCAGTTCATGAAGATGATCATTGTAATGAAGACACTGAAAAAGAAGACACTAAAGAAGCCAAGACTGAAGATAAGCCTGAAGTTCCATGTGAACTTGGTTCTGATGATGATGACATTGAGATATTGGAAGAGTGTATAAACTCTGCTATGCCAACCAAGTCCTCAAGAAAAACCAAAAAGCCATCACCATCAACCACTTCCAGAATACCTCCACCTGTAGCCCGAAAACCAAGTCAGCTGCCTGTGTATAAACTTCTCCCTTCACAAAACAGGGGACAGCAGCAAAAGCATGTCAGTTTTACTCATGGGGAAGATATGCCAAGAGTTTATTGTGTTGAGGGAACCCCCATTAACTTTTCAACAGCAACATCTCTTAGTGATCTTACCATCGAATCCCCTCCAAATGAGTTAGCAAATGCTGAAAGCACCAGCATGGGAGCAGGGCCTGCCACTATTGAAAGAAGAGATACCAATCCAGAAGGGAGAAGCACTGATACAAAGGATGTCATCAAAGGTCCCTCTACACCTCCAGTTGCAGTGGAAGATGAAAAACCTGAGGAATGTGAGGAGATTCTTGCTGAGTGTATAAGTTCTGCCATGCCAAAGGGTAAAAGTCATAAGCCTTTCAGAGTGAAAAAAATTATAGATCAGGTACAGCACACATCTGCATCTCCAGGGAGTCCAGGACCACAAGATTCAGAAAAAAAGAAGCCTACATCTCCAGTGAAGCCTATGCCTCAAAGCAGTGGATATAGAGCTCGAGTAATGAAAAGAGCAGAGCCTACCAACACTTGTCCACCTGAGGGCTCTTTCTCTGATAAAAACAAGGAAGTAAAAAAAAGAGATCCAAAAACTGCCTCTAGAGAGTACACAAACAAACCTCCAGGCAGTGAAGAGCGAATACGAGGGAGTTTTGCTTTTGATTCACCTCACCATTATACACCAATAGAGGGTACGCCTTATTGCTTTTCTCGTAATGATTCTCTTAGTTCATTAGACTTTGATGATGATGAACTGGACTTTTCTAAAGAAAAGGCAGAACTTAAAAAAGAAAAAGAGCAGAAAAAAGCTTCAACAAAAAATACCATTGAACAGCCTTCTAGCTACCCATCCACCGGTAGAACACAGATGTTTCATAGACCTTCTCCTAACAGGCCACCAGCAAAACCTCTTCTGCAGAAACAAGCAACTTTCCCACAGACATCCAAAGAAACCACAGGATCAATTACAGATGAAAAGATGCAGAACTTTGCTATTGAAGATACACCTGTGTGTTTTTCTAGAAACTCTTCCCTCAGCTCATTGAGTGATATAGACCAAGAAAACAATAATAAGGACTCCAATCAGAAAGAAAATTCAAACACCCAGGCAGAAGAATCCAGGCCTCAGGCATCTGGTTATGCACCCAAGGCCTTCCATGTTGAAGATACGCCAGTATGCTTTTCTAGGAACAGTTCCCTTAGTTCTCTTAGCATTGATTCAGAAGATGACCTTCTGCAAGAATGTATCAGTTCGGCAATGCCAAAAAAGAAAAAACAGCCAACTAGAATCAAAGGAGATGACCATGGGTTAATTGAAGATAAAAATGTAGGTGGCATATTAGCTGATGAAACAGATTTAAGTTTGGACCTAAGAGATGCACAAAGTCCCATTTCAGAGCAGGCTCTTTCACCTGATTCTGAATCTTTTGATTGGAAGGCCATTCAAGAAGGTGCTAACTCTATAGTGAGTAGCTTGCATCAGGCTGCTGCTAGCCTCTCTAGACAGGCCTCTTCTGATTCTGATTCAATCCTGTCTCTTAAGTCTGGTATTTCAATAGGATCTCCTTTCCATCTTACACCGGACCAAGAAGAGAAACCAATAACCTCCGGTAAAGGCCCAAGAATCTTAAAACCAGGGGAAAAGAGCACTTTAGAATCAAAGAAGAAAGAGGAAGAGCAAGCAAAAAGCCTTAAAGGTGGAAAGAAAGTGTATAAAAGTCTGATAACTGGGAAGGCGCGATCCAATCTTGAGGGTGTTTCTTCTCAACAGAAACACGTCCCTGTTCCCATGATTTCACGTGGAAGAACCATGATTCATATTCCTGGTGTACGAAGCAGTTCACCAAGCACCAGTCCAGTTCCAAAAAAGACACCGCCAAAAAGTGGTACCTCAAAAACACCTGCCCAAGGCCAGACTTCTGGTAATTCTCCTAGGAGTAAAACACCTGTTAAATCAGACCCAAACAGTGCAAGTAGGCAACAGAGTTCTCAAGGAGGATCAAGTAAGGCATCTTCTCGATCGGGTTCTAGAGATTCAACTCCTTCTAGGCCTACACAGCAGCCTTTGACCAGACCCATGCAATCACCTGGTCGCACATCTGTGTCACCTGGACGAAATGGCATAAGTCCTTCTAACAAGTTGTCACAATTACCCCGCACATCATCCCCAAGTACAGCTTCTACCAAGTCAACAGGTTCGGCTAGAATGTCCTATACTTCTCCAGGCAGACATTTAGGGCAGCAAACCCCCACAAAGCAGAGTGGTTTACCTAGAAGTACTAGTGGAATTCCAAGGAGTGAATCAGCTTCCAAGGGCTTGAACCAGTCAGCAGCTTCTGGTTCTGCTAAAAAGGTAGAGCTGTCCAGGATGTCTTCCACAAAGTCCAGTGGAAGTGAGTCTGATAGGTCTGAGAGACCTGTACTGGTACGTCAGTCAACCTTTATAAAAGAAGCCCCTAGTCCAACACTAAAGCGAAAACTAGAAGAGTCTGCTTCCTTTGAGTCTTTATCTCCTTCCTCTAGGCCAGTATCTCCAAACCGATCCCAGTCACAGACACCAGTGTTAAGTCCTTCTCTGCCAGATATGTCATTAACTTTGCCACATCAAGGTAGCTGTTGGAAGAAATCCCCTCACGCTCAAAATTCATCATCTGAAAATGGTGATGGAAGATCACTGAGAAGGCATGATATTGCTCGCTCCCATTCTGAAAGTCCTTCCAGACTGCCAATTAACAGGTCTGGCACTTGGAAGCGAGAGCACAGCAAACACTCTTCATCCCTGCCAAGAGTAAGTACATGGAAGAGAACAGGGAGCTCCTCATCTATACTTTCAGCATCTTCTGAATCTAGTGAAAAAGCAAAAAGCGAAGATGAAAGGCAGAGTGCAAGTCCTGCTCAAGGAGCTAAAAGTAAAGAGAGCCATGCCCCTTTGAAAGGAACTTGGAGAAAAATTAAGGAAAGTGACATTCCTCAGTTGACAAATTACCAAACCCAGGATCCATCAAGTGATGCACTTGTTGCTGATTGTAAACTTTTGGTTCATCAGATGGCTCCTGCTGTGTCCAAAACTGAGGATGTGTGGGTCAGAATTGAGGACTGTCCTATAAACAACCCTAGGTCTGGAAAATCACCAACAGGCAACACTCCTCCAGTTATTGACAGTTTGCCAGAAAAATTAATTGCTGATGACTCGGATGCAAATGACCCACAGTCTAAACAACCCATGGTGAATGAAAATGCACCTGTTCGTGTTCTTGGTTTAGAAAATGTGAATTCAATCACCAAGAGTGAATACACTGACAAAAAAGGAATGGATGGCAAGGCAGCTGCAAGCAATCCAGGTGCAACACCAGAGACTCATGAAAATCCCATCAGTGAGCGCACCCCTTTCAGTTCTTCAAATTCCAGTAAGCACAGCTCTCCCAGTGGTGCTGTCGCAGCAAGAGTAACCCCATTCAATTACAATCCAAGCCCTAGAAAGAGCAGCAATGATGGCACATCTGCTCGACCATCACAGATCCCAACACCAGTGAACAGCAGCACAAAAAAAAGAGACTCCAAAGGAGAAGGTGTTGAGTCAAGTGGAAATCAAAGTCCCAAACGTCTTTCTGGATCATACCTTGTGACTTCTGTGTGAAAGTATGGAAAAAAAAATTAATTTGTAATTTACATAGGATTTGATCACTAATATGTATACTTTAGTACATTTGCTTTGTTGACTGTTGGGAAGAATACAATGTAAATATTTTTTGAAGGTATCTGTTCTGGAAGCCATATTTGATTAAGGCACACTATCATTGCTGGTAGAAATGTGGCTGGCACACTTGGTTATCAGAAAGAGATAAATTTGGAGGGGACAGTAAGCATATTTGTACTGTACATATTGTTTTTTGATGTATTTAAATTGAATCCCTGACATGATCCTTGCTTGGTTTAAACTAGATTTTTGAGATGGTAAAACACTGTTTAAAAAGGACTTTTATTGATGCTTTTGATTTTTGAGATTTTTATTATAAGTCAGCATTAGTTTAATACATCATGCAAACAGAGCTATTACTTTAATTTTACTGCTTCAAAAAAAGTAAAAAAAAACTCCCATCCTGCTCTTCTGCATGAACTGATCTGATGGTTTGTTTCCTGAAGTAACGATTAACATTTGTGGTCACATGGTGTGTATAGGTAGCTATAGTGTAATAACTTACACTATTTTGTGTGTGAAAATAAGGTATTATCTGTAACCTTGGAAACCTTGGATGAGATTGTTTTACTTTGGAAATAGATTTTATCAGAAAGTAGGTAGATCCTTTGCTATGCTGTTAACTTGTTGTATATTATGTTATTGAGGTGAGATGGCTGCTCTTTTAATAATGAGACATAGGTTGTCTCAAAAGGACTAAATGAAAATTTCAAAATAAATTATTACTGTATGTTTTGGTGTTGGTCTGATAATTTCTTAACATTTAATGGTTTGTTTTTATTCTTAACCACTATCACTGTCATAGCATATTATCTGAAGCAAGATGTTTTTTGTTCTGCCAAAAAAGATTTATTCTACACTATGTGAATGATTAAGATGTACACACTTGTTTTATGATTTTCCTTCATGCAATAAAGTGGAACTGGTTGCCTATTTAAGAAAGAAGCACTGTGTTGCAGATTACAAAGTGTAAAGCAACATAATAAACACTACAGATTTTGGTGCAAAACTGACTGCTGTGGATTTAGTGGAACCATACACCAGAAGATTGCTTCTCTGATGTTGTCTGGTTATGAGCATATATTGGTGAACACAACTCTGGTCCTAGAATGACACAATGTCTGCAGGTTTCCATTGCATCTGACCTCTTAACTACCTAATTGAAGTTCATCATTGGCTGAACTGAACCTCTTAAATATTTATACCTGGTTTCGGTGATGGCTACACTGAAGAAATTCCACCAACAATACACTTCGGACACGTTTGTACGTTTAAGTCGCTTTGATTTTGAAAGACAGTTGAGATCTAGTAAGGTACATTGCCAATGCTATACTGTAAAGGTTTTTTTTTGTCTATAATAGATTATAGATATCCAAGCATCAGTTCTCGTTATTTACATTTCACTCTTTATTTAAATACTACTTTGTGAAATTTAATTTTCCCTTAAATTTCCCCCTGGAGATGAATAAAGTATATTGAATTGAATTTAAAAGTCTTCTTAGACTGGATTTTGTTTTAATTTCATGTAAAATATTCATGATTGTAGGCACATCAGTTTGGTATCTTATAAAACTAGCATGTTAGAATGTGTGGTAAAGCAATGTGCAAGAGATTCTCCAAAACCATCACAGGAAATACATCAGTGATTATGTCACTGCAGGAGAACTGTACAGAAAGTTATACACAATGTGTTCCTAACTGATGAAGCTGAAAGTGCCAAGTATGTAAGTTTGAATATTTATGCAATACATTATGGCAGCTTAAGTTACAAAATGTATGGAATAGTCTGCATTTGTTTTTACAACAATGTAAATACGTCTATGCATTTTCTTAGATATTGAATTTTAAGCCACAGCTTGCATTACAAGGTTATCTAATAACACACAGACACTAATCTTATGATTGTTTTCAAACTAAGCACCCGAGCAAGCAACATGTTAGTGGTGCCACTGTGAAGTCAACACTTCTATAGGATTGGAAGTCTGTGTTCATCCATCAACAGTATTGCCTTCTTCATCAAGGCTGGAACGAATGGATGAGTGACAACACAATGACCTTACTGAACAAAGGTTTGAGATAAGAATGTAATAATGCAAATGTGACAGAAGTTTTTGTGTTCAGACACCAATTGAAATTTGTGCTAAATTCAAAGTATTATGTCTGGTCAAGCCCAGTAGCACATCACCTCTGAACTGCATCCCAGATGTCAAGCATGATAGTGGCCACATCATGTTATGTTGATGCTTGTCAGAATGCAGGAGGAGGAGGGGGTTCACTATAGTGAATTCTGACTTGAATCCAGTAGAAACGTAATGACGATGTAGAAGATGGCATTCTTGAGCAGCCATATCATCCTGCAACTCACAACTGGCAACCCACTGAAGCTAAGCAGGTGTGAGCCTGGTCAGTACCTGGATGACCACCTGGGAAAAACTAAGGTTGCTGCTGAAAGAGATGTTAGGGGGGCCAGCAGGGGGCGCTCGACCCCGTGGCCTATTTGGATCCTACTGCCCCAGTATAGTAACGGGGACACTATACTGTAAAAAGAGGCTGTCCTTCGGATGAGACGTAAAACCGAGGTCCTGACTCTCTGGTCATTAAAAATCCCAGGGCGTTTCTCAAAAAGAGTAGGGGTGTAACCCCTGCCAAATTTCCTTGTTAAAATAAATCCTTGTTAAAGATTAACAAAAAAGTCATATAAAATGAACAGCACAGATAATGAGCTATATTTTTGCCTGCCAAAATGGGAAAACTACAGGTGCTTATTCTAGTACAATTATTTAACAGATGTTTTTAAATGAGTAATAGTTACCTGTCTTTTCTAGCTCTTTCACTGACTCCCACTACTACCTTGTTTTTATTTTTAAAAATTAAAAAAATAATGTTTTATATAGAGTGGCATGGTGGCACAGCTGTTAGATTTGGTGCCTCACAGTGGTGGAGCCTTGGGTTAAATTCTGGACCTGGGGTGCTATATGTGTGGAGTTTGTATGTTCTCTTAGTGTTTGTGTGGGTTTCCTCCCACGGGAGGAAGTCCAGAAACATATAGGTAGGTTAATCGTCTCTTGTGTGAGTGTGTGCATGTCTGTGTCTGCCCTGTGATGGACCAGCATTCTATCCAGGGACAATGCTACCTTGTACATGCTGCTTGTTGGACTAGGCTCTGGCACCCCCACTGCCCTGTAATGGTGATGGTTTGACTTCATCCTTCTCCAAAACTGCTGACATCTACAAGCCCTTCAACTCCCCCCATCCATACACTACCTCACCATTTCAGTCCTCTACTGATCCCGTTTCGCCTCCTAACTTCTCTGGTACTGACATCTGTTCTGCAATGTTAAATTATTTTAAGGCTTGTTAATTATTAGGTCGTTTATATAACCCACATTTGCCACAACTGTTTTTTCACTTCTTCTCCACTTAAATTATGGGTTGTGAAATGAAGACTTTCTGAGAGAATACAGTTTTAAGAATTGTACTGGGGGATAAATCAGCAGTACTTGAAACTTCATACTTATGAGTCTTGCCATACAAAATGACTATAAAAACTATGGAAAAAATGCTTCATTTTAACTTTATTACAGGCATATCCCTGCCATGATCCAATGATCCAAAGCTTTAGGACCGCTGCTTTTCCCGATTTATATGGACAATCTAGTTAGTAAACTAGTCAAGTTCACAGAAGGCAAAATAGGGGGATTAGCACTGTAAACACTGTAGAAAATGCAAAGGGAAATTCTTAAAGACTGAGACTGTACAAATCCCTAGCACATAACAATTGCTAGGGAGAGAAGAGTGTTATATGCAGATAGCAAAAACAAACTATGAACGCAAGATGGCAATTGTTGATCTTGAACATGCTGCTGACTTAGCTACTGCTTTTGATGTTGATATTTCCTCCTCTAGAGAACAAGAAGAAACGATGTTGCAAAGTTCTAAATTAAGGCAATGATATTAAAGTGTTACAATACACTATTATTTTTAGAAAATGTATAATTTTATAACATTGCAAAACATATCTTTTTTTAGTTTTGAAAAGGCAACAAAAAGACCCAATTCAAGTATTCAAAATCCTCAAATACATCACCAACATCAATCCAATGTACTTTTCCGGAAACAAAGGTGTACACAAACTAGCGGATACGAGTGCTAGCTATGCATTTATAATTCGGAACAGAAGGTACCTTTTCCAAAAAGGTCTGAAGTGAGTAAAAAATACGTTGCCTAGTCATCTTGTTTAATGGCTACCACCAACAAACGAGCTTAATACAATTAACTTATGTTGTTTGGTCACTAGAGTGATCAGTTTTTAACGAAACAGATTATTACCTGACTTCAGAATCTCCATGTTATGGCTCATTTAAAGATTGTTCTTTTGTGTATAACCTGTGTATAACTGAATCTGCATGCATTTTGGAGTTTTCTTGCGTATTTTCTTGCGTAGTAAGAAAATAAGAATGTCTTACATTTGAAAATAGAAAGATCTATTTTGTTGTTAGCAACATATATTGACAAAACGTTAAATCGGACTCAAATGGAATACATAGCTAACATCAGATTCTCAGATCCAATTCGTAATGTTCCGGAACCGGTTTGCATGAAACAGATGTTGTGAAGGAAACATTTCAATGGTACAATGCCAGACTGAATGCACTTTTGATGGACGTGAGTTTGCACCTATTAACCATTCCTTTCTTTGTATCTGACCAATGATGATACTGCAATTAAAAGAGGTTGTACTTCCGTTCAGTCGGTGACCAATCAGCTAATAGCCATTCAGCAGAAGATGTATTGCGTTTAAAGAGGGGCGATCAGCTTCGTTTTACAGAAAAATGGCCCATTTAACTCAAAACCCAGCAGAAAAAGAAAGGTAACATATTATAACGAAGAATTTTAAATTATGTTGTCATGTGTTTTTATTTTGTTATATCGCTATTTCCTTACAAAGTTATAGGCTTGATATTTAGAAAAAAGTATTATGTTTTCTGTCTTACGTGTGTATGTTATGACATGTTTATTTTATTTCTCTTCATATATTCTACCAGAATCATGCAGATACCTAAATTCATATTGGGATGCTAATTTTTATTTTTAATAGCATCATTATAAATGGAATAGTACTAAATTAAAATCGGAATGAATGAAACTTTGGCTGTGGAAAATAACTAACTTGTTTTAAAATATATTTTATGTCCATCATCATTTAAAACATGTGCTGTGTTTGAACTGTCCTCTTGTTTCTTTTTCTGATACAGCTTTGTAGTGGATTTGCTTTTGCAGTTTTTGTAACACCGAAATGTTGTAATTTAATGAAAACCTGATAAGACATATGCAGTATGATATTTTTCTAAATCATTATCCAAATACAACCCAGAGGAATAAAAGTAACTCAGCTTATTTATTGATACGAGTTACTCTTTGACATCAGAAAGAGCTTCTCCATAAGAATCATCTAAGTGGATTTTTTTTTTCTAAGCATGGAATATTATTTGTTTATTGTAGGTTTATCTGCATATATCCAGCATACCTCAACAGTAAGAAGACCATTGCTGAGGGGCGGAGAATTCCAGTTGAAAAGGTAGAAAAAAAAGCAGGACCATCTACTTTGATAACACAGTTTGATTTGCTCCAATTGGTTATTTACCTTTTCTCGGTGTTTAGGAGTGTTTCCCTCTTTTCTTCTAGGCTGTTGAAAACCCCACATGTACTGAAATGAGAGATGTTTTAACAGCAGCAGGATTCAATGTGCTTGTTGAGGTATAATATTGTTTTTTTTAATGAATATTATTATGAAAATGATGAAAACAGTCATGCAGTGTGTTTTTGTTTTAATGCTCCTAGAACAAGATGTATACAAGGGAGTTGAACAGAGACGTACAGTTCCGGGGAAGAGTACGTGTACAGCTGAAGAGAGAGGATGGGAGTTTATACCTAGAAAAGTTTGAATCACGTGAGTCATTACACAGTGAAGATAATGGCCTTATTTATTAAAATACAACAATCTATATTTTTAATTCTTTTTTTTAAACATGTATATAAATCGGGAGCATTTCAGAAAGGGAACATTTGCACACATTGTAAAATTGTAAAAGAGCTGATAATGCATATTCTTGGATTCAACCTTTGGAGTTTTTTTTTTGGTCTACCTTTTGAAGTAGAAGACCTAAACCAAGAAGAAGACTAGAGTTGTCTATAATGGAAAAAGCAAGCAGTTGTAAAGATGAGAGCAAAGACAAATCCAGTAAGAACCATTGCAGAGAGATGTCTTGAAAAAGAAAGAAACTACTGGAGGGAGTTATCATTCAACAAAGACTAGATCATTCAAGGATAATGACAGTAGTTGATGACAAGAAAATCATTAGAGCTATGATCACAAACCCTAAATAACAGTAAAAAAGATTACAGACTGTTGCCAGAGTGCATGGATGAAAGTATCTCAATTCACCGTGCATGGATGACTTCAATAGCATAATTACAGGGCCGTATCAGAACTAGCAAAGAAGTATAAAGATGAAGCAAAACAGTCCTGGAACTTTAAAGAAGGATAAGTTGAAGAGAATCCTTTAGCAAGTGATGGATAGGCAAAAGAAAATGGAAAAAGATTCGAAGTACACCACCTCATCTGTGAAGGATGTTGGAGATAGTGTCGTGGTATGGGGATAAATTGTTGCTTTAGGAACTAGTTCACTGGTCTTTATTAATCATATAAGTGATGATTGATTTCTGAAGTGTACAGAAAAATGGCTTCAAACTCATTGGGCAGCAGTTCATGTCACAAAACATGCTGCACACTTAACTGAGGAATTTTTCAGGAAGAAGAAATGAAAATGTTTAAATTGTCCAAATCAAATTACTAATTTGAATACAATTACATATGCATTTTACTTGCTGAAGAGGAAACTCAAGTCAAATATCCATTCTTGAAGCATCATAACATGTAAAGGGGTATCTGACCAAATACTAGCTTTACTCTGATTTAATTTTATTTTTCCTAATACTTATTCCGACCTAAAATACAAAATTATCTTTCTAATATGGTTTAATATGTATGCACACAAATATCCAGAAATAAAAGCTGACATTTTATACTTTTGTTCTGAAATACTGATAGTACACAGCAAAAATGACAAATTTCACTGTACTGTACTAATACTTATGCTTTTCACTATATGTTGCTAGGTGATTTTAACTTTCCACATATATATTGGGGATATGGTGTTGGATCGAAAAACAAGAGTCTCAAATTAAGGTTTATCATTTTGAAGGCATTTTGGATGAATGAGACAGTTTTTGCTTGCAGTGAACTGGAAACAAATGGATACAGAGTCAGTAGAAGAGGGATGGCTATATTTAAAAAAAACATAATTAAAGGCTCACAATAAATATATTCCTAATACTGTAAAGACTGTGTCAAGGAACAAAGTGGTTTACTGGAGGTATTAAGAAAAAAGAATCAGAAGGAAGAGAGCATTTCATAGTCTGTGTTAAAGGTACCTTGAATCAGGGATAAGAGTATATAAAATTACAGGTGCAGCTGGAAAAAGATATTAAAATTGTCAGAAGTGATATTACAATGATGCAAAAAAACAGTAAAAGTGTGTTAATTGTGAGATGATAAGGGCTTAACTTATCTACTAAACTAAACATACTAAACAAATGTTTCTCACAGGTGTTTACAATAGAAATTAATACATGTCCCACTGAACAACCTCCAGCTTTGCTGGATAATTTTTAGTATGACTGAATCTGAAGTTCTAGAAATGCAAGGGCAGTTAAAAACAATTAAATCACAGGGGCCTGATCTTTTCTCAGGAAATGAGGAATGTTATTCTTTGACCTCTATCTTATATATTTCTGCTCTCACTTAAAATGGAAGCAATATTCACAGATAGGAAATCTGAAAAATGTAACCATAAAGGGGGTCAGAACTGAGCCAGGAAACTACAGACCAGTCTTATTTATCTTATTGGTAAAACGTTATGGAAATGTTAAGCAGAATTTGAAGAATACATAAAACACATGGACATTTAAACATACAGCCAATGTAGGTTTAGAAAGGGAAGGTTTACCTAATTTGTTGTGATTTTTGCTAGACATTAGACACTAAAATGCATGACATGATGTATTTATATTTCCAGAAAGTGATAAGGTCTCACATCAGAGGTTTATTCTCCTATTAAAAGCAATGGGAATCCAAGGTAATAGATGTACATAGATTGAGAACTGGTTAATGTACAGAAAACAGCATTTTATTTATTTATGCAACATGACCTCTGGGTGGATATGAGTAGTGCCAGAAGAATCCTATTTAGTCACATAGCCTTTCCTGGTTATATTTAGATTCTGGCATAGTTAACAAGCCAGTCAAATTTGCTGATGAAGTGCAACCAGAAGCTATGGCACAAAAGACTTTAATAAAATCATGGAGTGGGCTGACACTTCGCGAATGAAATTCAGCATTGATAAGTAAAAAGTGGTCCACACTTATAGTAGTAACACCATTAATTATACAGTGTATTGCATGGGTGCTTCTGAGTTGTGACAAGTTACACATGAAAGGCATCTGGGTGTTGATGTAGTTTCTTCTATGACATCTTGTTAAGAGTATGGAGAAGCAATCTGAAAAGAAGGCAGTGATTGGGCATATAGCAGATTTCTTTTTAATTTAGGAAAGTTAAGCTTATCTAGGAAATCCAGGAATGCTCTTAAATCCAGAAAAGTTATACTGAAGCTCTACAGTGCACTAGTAAGACCTCGTCTAGAATAATGTGTTCAGTTTTGATCACAAACCACAAGCCTTAAAAAAAGTTCAAATTAGAGCAACATAAATGACACCTTGTGTCAGGTGATACCATATAAGGGTATGTTGAGGGAGGTATCCCTTCAGTCTAGAATGGAGGAGGGTCACAGGAGATTTGATCCAAGTATACAAAATCCCAAGGGGTATAGATCAGTTCAATCCAGAGGCCTCTTTCATACTCAGTAGTGAAACAAGGGTCACAATGGGAAACCTTTAGGGGGATTCTTTCAGGACAGAGAATAGGAAATACTTTTTTCACTAAAAGAAAAAAAATAAAGCAGTAGGTATCTTTAAGAAACAGCTGGAAAAAATTGTAAATTAATTTAGCAACTACCAACTAGGCAAAATGGACCAAATGGCTTTCTCTTATTTGCAGACTGTTCTTATAGTGTTGTATGCTGTAATGCAGCTTTGGTGTATTATCTTGCATTTACTTGATATACTTTTCATCAAAGTAGTTTATACATGTTTTTATAGATTTTATCTGGTTTGCTTTGTGTATATTTTAACATAACATTTTAAATGTGCAATTAGAAACCTTGATTTTCTGAGATTGATTTTTTATGGATTTTTGTACTTCAGGTAAAGACCTTATGCTTTATGTTGCTGAAATGATTCCCAAACTGAAGACTAGAACTCAGAAGACTGGTGGGGGAGATCAAAATGCACAACAAGGAGAAGGTGGGAAAAAAGGCAAGAAAAAGAAGAAGTAATTTGTGTCCTACCCTATTTTGCCTTTTCCCTTTGGAGACAAGCTCATCATGGCTTCCACAAGTAACATGAAAACACTGTGTTGTGATGGACAAATATATGCATCGCCTTTTGTAAAATGTGGATTTTGAAAGGCTATGAATGACCATTTAGAAGATTCCAAAACTACAGAAGTCTAAAGTCTTTACAGATCATGAAATTATTTTATAATTAAGTCAATTCATGCTTTAATTTTCTGGAATTGTTTCATTCTTTTAATTATAAATTTATAAGATGGTGAATTTATAGAAGGCATTGATGTCCAATAAATAAAATGTACTGGGATCATGATTCTTTCAATTTATTTAAATGATGTTATACCTCAATTTCCCTCCAGTCGTTTCCATTTTATATGTATTATATTTAATGCCTAAACGTACTGCCATTTCTGAACATCTTAAAAATAAAATGTCATTTGGGCTGTTCATGGTTTGCCTTTATTTTACAGTTTTGTTTTCTATTACCTTTTTTTATAATATATTTTATTTTGTAGGTCTATAAATATTGCATGCAAATTCTATCTTTTGTCCATTTTAAAATTGTCTATTTTGTAATTTAGATTCACTGAATTCAATTGAGTGTATACTTAGAAAGCAGTAGGCTATCACTAGACTTTTCATATTTGATGTATTAAATATTCAGATTTATTTTTCAATTTTGCCTGTAAAAATTGTCCTAACATTGTTTTTCAGTTTTTGATTTTCCAATTGGAATAACCATGTATTTTGTGCTAATATGATCCCAGTTTGGAATCCCTGGACCATCTGGGGAGAATGAGAATCAGTGCTTTCCTCCTGCACCGCACCTGTCTAAAAACATCCTTTAACATGCTTCAGTGTTTTACAAGTGGTTTAATATCTCTGCTTGACTCTTGTAGTGCCTAATAGGTCTCAGAAATCACTTGCAAACAAAAATGTGGGAACTCCATTCAACCCCACCAGTCAGGATAAAAGGCTGTGAGTACTTCAGGACCCCCATTTGTCTTTTATATTCTCAGTTGCCGGTATTCTGAGGGGCTCTGCTCTAACCAAACCTTATGATCCTGCTTAACATTAGAAGTGAAAAGTGACTTTTTCAATGTACCAAAAGCTGTTAACAGTAAGCTAATGTGTTAAACCTGAAACTAATGTACCAAGAAAGGTGCTATATTAAATAAGGTTATTTTAGTGTGAGAGAAGACTTAAACATACTGGTGTGCAGTGAATCAAAGTTGAATGTAATTTATATGGGATAGTTTAGTCCAGATGACCTAAACTCAGAGTTTTCATTGTCCAGGGGAATTCTGGCAATAATTCAGAATTAATACCTCCCCCTTCAGTCTCTTAGGCAAAGCAGGAAATTGTGGAACTTGCTGCATTTCCTGAATTTATTGGTTTTAATGCTTATATTGCTGGTATTAATTAGAACATGGGAACATCACACACAGATGTGTATCTTTCTGCAATTATTATACTATTGATGTGCTGTCTGTGTATAGTGCAATTCATGAACCAAATGATGGTAATATTTCAAGACATTTTTGTTGCAACCATGTCTGTTACAACCAGAAGCACAGGTTGTGTAATAGTCACTACTGTCTTTGAAAAATGTTGATTGAACATTCATGTCTTATAGAAAGGTGTCTTTATTTGTAAATAACTGGTATTGTTTTTTTTTTTTATTCTTTTAGAGAATCATTGAGCAAGTTGCTAGTCAGTTATAGCTCATAAATGGCTTTTAATTCTAATGACCCCACTATAGCATATTACACACAAAATTAAGGTGACACTCTTAATAAGGTCAATGGTTTGTGTCTACATTGTTCTTTTTTTAGTAAATACTAATAAATGTTGTCTTATTTGATT